AACAAATATACGCGATTTAAATCCGGAAAAATAGTTTCATTTCCTATATTTATGTACTATTCTTGTTCTTGTGCGTGAGCAATACAGTGTTTATCTATGTATCTATCTACTCGGCTTCGGCCTTCTAATAAATAGGCTTTCGTTAGCATTTTTTATTTATCGCTTTTAAATGTAACCAACGTTTCGGGCTCTTCACTAGTCCCATGGTCAATGCTAACTGTCAGAAAACCAAATTTCATTTAACAGAAAATGGACACGAAGAGCTACAATTTTAACTGTTGTTAAACGACTGTAAGACTCACGATGTCATGCGTTTGTGTAAAAAATGCCTATTCCATCTAGCCTTAAATATCTCCAAATTGCAATGTTCGGTAAACAGAATTTGGGGCTTTTTGAGGTTTTTTTAGATGTTGTCGGCCATTCTCAAAACAGCAAATTGTGCTCGCGCGTGCGGGCAATTCCTGTTTTTTTTATATATACTTAGTTTATGTACTATTATCGAAAGGTGTTTTTAAAATATAATGTTTTGAGTATCTGACAGAATGTCCGTTGACGCGCACATTGCGCACGCTGAACGAAATGTCGAACTAGATCGATCTGTTCCATTGTTCTCTGAGTGAATTCACAAAGATAGCGCTCTAAATGTAAGAGCGCGTTCCCATTATGTACGACCGTCGCTTGTAAATTCCCATATCTCGACTGTCTGTCGTGACTGCGTCGTGGATTTTTTTATCGTTAAACGTTTGTCATGTCTTGCTGTTCCCACTGGATCGTGACGACAATTTATCAGTTTTCGGCAGCCGCATTGTCGTTTACACGACAGAATCGTTTGATGCACAGCAGTTACGCAGCATGTTCAGTTCGACGTGACGATGATAGTAGCTGAGATTATCTGTCATATTTTTATTGTGACGTTATATTTATCGTCTAACGACTGTCGTTCTAGCTCTTTCCATTGTCTTGACAGTCTGTTGTTATAACGTCAAAAAAGTCGTGAACGACATTTAATCGAGTTGTGGTATAATTGAACAACTCCATTTAATACAAGCCACGGCACTTTAGACTGCACTATTATCTGTCGTCACGTCAAAGTGGGAACGCAGCATCAAGTTGCATCAGGTGGATAACCTGTAATAATAGATTAAGTTTTGGAAATAAATAACTATGTAAAATAAATAATCACGATGTTTGACTACCATAATATGCAATTATTTTCTTGTGAAATTATCTCCTTCGATCTGGACTCAAACCAGCGTCTTCAGCATACTGTTCCTGACGCTCTCCCAACTGAGCTTTTTTCTTAGTGTTAAATCTTTGCGTTAAAAATACAATTGTTAACACAAAGATCAATCAATGACGGTCAATGTCTGCTACTTAACTATCATGCTTATTTTATCGAGATCTTAGGTTTTCGCGATTGTTACACATAGGAAATGAAACTATTTTTCCGGATTTAAATCGCGTATATTTATTTTTTCAAACAAACCTATAAAACCTAAAAAATAACCCCGCGAAGAGACATCTACGGTAGTGACCGCATACTCCGACAAGCCAGTAAGAAATTGTTGTGCAAACTAATCCACAATAACCGCTATTCAATTCAAAAGTTTGGTATTTAATTAATAACTATTGTAACTATAGTGAAAAAATAGGGTGGTTTGCATCAATATTAGACATAACTGGTTGAAGACTGTACCACCTCAGTCAATGGTGACCATGGGACCTGTAAAGGGCCCGAAACGTCGGTTTGTTTGAAAAAACAATTATACGCGATTTAAATCCGAAAAAATAGTTTCATTTCCTATACTTATTTTAGTTTTCAAACCCATGTTCTCCAATTACCGTAGCTTGTCCGGACGCAACTTGTGTCTGCAGACTTGCTTCTCATTTTAGTCAGGAATTTAGCTTAAAATTATTCATATTTTTCAATGTTATTGGGTGCAATAAGTGACAAAAAAATTGGCATCGGTAAATGGGCTAAGAACACCGATGGTAGTATATCGAGTACATTTTATAGTGATGACCTACGACTCTGAGGCGTAGTCACTTACAAAAGGACCTCATAAAACAAAATCACTCAACGAGCTATGGTGCGAGCAATGCTCAGCATTCCTCTACGTGATTGAATCATAAATGAGGAGATCCGTAGAAAAAAGAAAGTCAGCGACATAGCTCAAAGGATTAGTAAGTTGAAGTGGCAGTCGGCAGAGCACTTAGCTCGTGGAACTGATGATCGGAGATGGACGAATGGTCTGATAAGGACGGCGCGTAATCAATGGATGCACGTCGCGTCCGATCGCCTAGTCTGGAAATCTTTATTCAGCATTGGACGTATTCTGGCTGATAACTTTATTTTACTTTATATTCTAGTAAATAAAACACCGCAGTTCGTCTGGTTTCACTCAGTTACACCGAGGATGAGAATTTGGGGATATTCAAGGCATTTTTACGTTGCTCAGTAACTAGTAAATGGAATTTTCTAGTTTGAAGCCAGATTTCTGGAATATTATTATGATAACAATAATTAGGTCGGTCGCAGTCGACAGCACTTCGTGTGGAGACTATCATGTGAGATGGTATCAAGAAAGCGGAGAAGAAAAATTTCAGAATTATCTTAATGTCGCGTCAGATGCCCGCGGAGATGATATAATAATAATAATAATAATATATTTATTTCAGACAACTATTTGGTCCACATGTGTTAGTAACAATTTTATTCTTAAAAATTATGTTAGTAGGCACAAATCTAAACATTATTAAATTAAAATTAAAATAAAAACATAAAACATTTGAGGCAATTAAAAACGAGGCGAAAAAAGTTGCCTCATAAAGGGAGAGTTAATTCTCCTGGCAATGGTCTTCAGTATTGGGTTGGAGCTGGCTCGCAGTCTGCAGAACAGTGAGGCCGACTTTTTGCGCATAATGGCATAAAAGTCATCAGTGCGAGCCTGTGCAAACATGCCTGACGCGCTGCAGAACCGCGGCAGCCCCAACAACATACGAAAACCATTGTTATATTGTACTCGCAGGGCGCTGATGGCTCTGTGCGTATAGTTGGTCCAAAGGCTGCGCGTGTAAAAAACTTGGCAGTATGATTTAAAAAGTAGAATCTTTACTTGTTCACTGCAACGCGCAAACCTTCGCACCACCATATTACACCTGACCGCCAGCGCCCTGCGTTCCCTCTCAATATCCATGAGGTCCTTAAGGTCGGCGGAGACAAAATGGCCAAGGTACTTGTATTGATAGACCCGCTCGAGTTCTATATTGCTTATCTTAATGGGTGGAACATAGCTCGGTAATTTGCCCCCGGCCGCCCTAAAGACCATTATCACACTCTTTTTCACATTATACGTCAAGCCGTGTGACTTCACATACTCTTCGCACATATGCAGGAGTACCTCAAGTGCTCTGACCGTTGGGCTCAGCAGGACCATATCATCGGCGTAACTAATGTTATTGACACTAATGTCATGTACTCTACGTCCGATATGCTTACTGCTGAGCCCAACGATGATGAAGAGTTAGTTGTAGCCAGCTTCGCTAATAACTTCAGGCGGTTATTATCTGTGGCGTGTCGCTTCCAGCAAAAATGCTGAAAGCGGTGCTGTTCGATACAATTCGTATCGTTAGCGGTTCTTGAACCTGTGTCCCTGACCCCGGCCGCTTTTACCAGGGAATAGCGCACCTCCCATTTAAAATAGGCCATGAGAGAGCACCAGCAGAGCTTCAGTAGCAATGGAGCTCCTTGTGAAAGAGTTCGTCCAGGGAAGTACTGCCACCTTACCTTACCTATACACATCACCGAGAAGAGTAGAATAGTGCGACGAAGACGGTTTCAAAAAGGTGGAAAGGAAGAAGTACACCAGCCTTAACCTCAGTGGCACCGCCCCGTCTGGCCCTAATCATTTACTGCGTCCAGAGATACCGACTACGTTGTTATACGTGTCACGGCTTCATTACTCCATAAATCTGCCGATATTGTGGAGTATATACGGGTGAAAGCCAATGCTGCCCTGAAGGTCGAGCAGTTGGTGTCCCGCCACTATATAAACTTTAATTCATTTGTGGTGAGAGTACCAACTCAACATCTGTCGAACTTCATTAAAAATTAGTTTTGGCCGAAAGGATGTATCGACGTTTCCGAGGCCGGCTATCGGACACCCACGTTGCGTCACACGTCGCAAACAATACGTGTAAATAATAATTAGTCAGCAGTGTTTTTATTGTATTATTATGTATGTTAGTCTATAAGGTATGTATTTATGGGTCTTTGTTACCTGAATGCTAATAAACAAATAAATAAAACAAAAATTACAGCGTTTCAGTTTTTAAGTGTTAGGGAGCTGGTGAAATTATAGGCATAGGGCATTATCAACTCATGCCTCAGGATGACCGGCGCAATTGCATTGCTTCTCAGATCTTTGCTATTTAAAGCTTGTCGCTTGTCGCTTGCCATTAGGCGCACGACATGTTCGTTCCGTCACTTGATATCATAAAAAAGGAACCAAAATGCTAGGGCGAATGAATGTTATATCGATATCATAACGGTGGTGAACTTGAAAAGTTAACTAATGGAACAAAGACGATAACGAACGAAGAACGAAGATGTAAAAATTTCCGTTACATAAATATTGCAACCTTCATGGAAGAATGGTGTAAATGAAGTTGCGTCAAAAATATTCAATGCTATATTGGGTACAGGAAAATATAACCCACATCCTCTCCAATTCTTGTAACTCTATCGACAATATTAGTGGATAGATTTATTGGAATTGGAGAGAATGTGAGTTAGAGATTTTCGGTACCTAATAGAGCAATAAACATTTTTGATGTAACTTCACTTATACCGTTTTTTTTATAAAAAATAAGTGCGCATTTGACCTGCATCTCACCTGATGGAAAGTGACGATGAGGTCGAGGATGTAGCATGCATACCTAAATAATGCTAATTCACTCTCGCCTTGAAAAGATCCAAGTTATAGAGTTCGGGGAACAAGTCTTCAGGCAGGGAATTCTTCCATTCTGCCAAGAGGAGTGCGTATACTGAATGTCTTTGTGTATTGATGGATTTTTTCTTCTCCCGACTGTGGACTTGAACTTGAATTGAGAGTTCAAATGAAGTTTAATAACGTAAACTTTGATTTCAATCAAACTTGGCAAATAGCCGTAATTCCACGAGCTTTTGAGGCCGGTTTTTTACGTGTCCTTTTTCCAGAATACAATGGACGTGGAGGGGAAAACAAATGAAACACTGGGAAACCTAAAATTGGAACAACTATTGCGTGTTTATTGACGTTCTGTCCAGAAACATTACATAATTTAATAATAAATATCAATCGTTCAAATTTTATTCACTTTAATGAAGCGTGAAAGAGAACTTTAACTTAGTGGCGCCCTCTGGCTTATTCTAAAACGAATACAAATAAACCGCCGACTATGTGGCTATTGCTAATGTGGCGCGTTTGGCAGCCGGCGCCTGCGTGTGCGCAGCGCTTTTGGCGAACTCGGTGACCTTGGCGACACTGGCGGACTTACAGCTACCAACTGGTTATTTAGCGGCGAGCGAACCAATGGCAGTGACATAATACTACTGGTAGTTAAAGAGCACGGCAACCAGTCTGTGGCCACAGATTTTAACAAACAACCTCGTAAACTACTTCGGTGGTCAACTAACGACGCGCTTGGCAGCCTGCTAAGGTTTTCAAGCAAATGGCGGCCAGCTGACGCTGCCCTTGATTGTGGCCACCAACGCGTGGTTAGTTGACTACATCGCTGGCCAATAGGCGGTAACTTGGCGAGCTGCGCGGCCAATTGGAGCTGCCTAGGAGCGGTCGACCATCAACTCGAAGTGCACTGAACCGCGCCTCTCGTAGCGGTCGTACACGATGTTCTTCGCCCACGCCTTGCACTCGATGTTGATAAGCACCCCAGCTGTAAAATACAAATTATACGATTAAATTCCAATTCGAACACAATACAATACAATAAAAATGGCAATTAATTAAAACGTGACAGGTTAAAATGAGAAGAAGAAACAAAATTAAGAACAATTAATTAGAACATAACATAATAAAAAGAGAATAAGAAAACAAGAAATAAAATTGAGAAACAGTAACGTAGAGAAAAACTAAAGTATCAATTAATTAGAACATAGTATATTAAAAAGAGAACAAGAAACAATAACATGGAGAATAACAAAGATGTAACTATTCTCCCGAACGCAAGCAATACGTGGATGTGCATGATACTTTACAAGATTCCAGATTTAAATACCTCAGAAAGTACTTAATTTTTTAAATAATGTACTTGCTAAAATGCAATTGTATTATTTTCGACCATAAGTAATTGATTTGTAAATATTATGGCAAACATTTGCACTTTTGTGATAGTTCGCACAATATATCAGCTTCTTTATGAGAATAAGCATTCTTCCCCTGTAGCTAGTTCAATAATTCTTCACTAACATCAACCCGAAAAATTTGGACGCTATTATAGTAACCTTGTAAAGTTGCTACATTAAATTAGAGAGCAGTTCGTCGAAGCTGGTTACCAAACAGGCTTCAGAACAATCAATTGAATTGTTGAAAAATTTCCTTGATTACTACTATTATGGAGGTATAGTAATTTACATTAAGTATCTAGTCCTTGATCTGCCAGCTGACCAAGGACGGATGTGGAATAACAGACGGTAGTTTCGACTTTTGCTTGGGCTTTCGTTTTCATATCAAGGACTGGTCGAGTAAGTTAAATAAAGAATAACTGGTTTTTCTTTTTGGTCTTTAAACAAAATAATAAATCATTGCTTACTCCTGGGCTTCTCGAAGAGGACAGCGACGAGCGGGCTCAGATAACCCTCCTTATTGGTGAATGGGTAGTAGAAGTTAGGGAAGCCACGCCGCGGAATGTACTGCACAGGCCCAATGTTCTCTACGTCTGCTGGGTTTTCGCCCTCGCACGACACCCACACTGTATTTGATTCTGGTTTGCCAGCCTGAGATACAATTACAATGTAAGGTTTAAAAGAATGTAATATTGATTTATTTTCGGTTTCAGACGAACTTAAAAAGTCCTTTGGCATTGGCCGTCCGTTATTTTATAATGGCATGAATATACATTAGGTTTACCATTTTCTCTATCGTCGCTAATTCAGAAAATGTTTATAGATAGAATAGTAATCTAAATTAGTTCTAATAAATAAGTATTCAATGTTTAGTTTAGATATTATGGTACTTTCTTAAAGCTTATAGTGAGAGATATATTGTATACGAGTATTAAGAGAACATGGAAAGTGATACGTACGACCATCTTGATGTGCTGCTTGAGGTCCTCGGGCATGTTACCGGGCAGGTCCTCCGTGGTGTTGTACGGCTTCGGGACCCAGTTGAAGATCTGGAATTCATGAAAATTAAGTGACAGCAGAATTCATTCAACAAAAGAGTATCATATGGCATGACAAAGATCGACACCAACGTTAGGTGCATGCTCAAGTATAAAACGTACCTTATTAAGTTTGAGAAACACACAGGGTCCAGCCTCCTCATAGTTGTACTGATTTCCCGAGGTGCAGGGGTGGAAGTCGTCGACTGGTACGTCGCACACTTGCTTCTCGCCCACGGGTCCAGCAGTTGGGGTGCACGCCACGCGGTTCTCTGCACCCGCTGTCTCGCCACTTCCGCTGCCCTTCTTGCGGTAAGCTGCACATAATACAGGTTACGTACAGTGTTTATAAGATGGTGAGAGAAATAAAGATTTTAGATAAGTTTATAAATCAAATTTTTGTGACCCAGTGATGAGACAGTGATAGAAATTTGCAGAATCAGACCTACAGGTTGGCACCATGAGTCGTTACGAACTGAACTAGGTAATAATGTACATCTTGTTCAACTTACGCTGCAGGAAATCATCGATGACTTTAGCCCACTTGAGCACTGATCCTTTGTCGTTGGCCTTGTAATAGATGAGCGTGCTCTCAACGTTGTCTGTATCAGGTAGCGGCCGGAAACCCATTCCTAGTCCGAACACACCACAATTAAAGGAAACTGATAGCTGTGAGTTTAATTTTTCTCTAGTTGTATCTTACAATGATTATTTTCAAGTAAAAAAATATCAATCGATCATAAATTTTGCTTTTAAGTTATTTTACCTGGATTATTTCCGATAAGGGAGCCTTCCATCTGCCACTTGGGTTTGTTATTGTCAAGGGTCTGGAAAAAGATGACTAGCATGATGGTGAAGAAGCCCACCAGGACTGCATAAAAGATCACGTAGAATAACAGGATCTTCGCTGTGAACAAGTAAAGTCACTGTTTAGTCAAGGCTGTATAGTATGGCTGAAAATCTAATTACGCAACAATGGACCAATGCGAATTATGATTCATAAGAGACTATATATTATACCAATTCTTTCTTTATTCTGCTTGAGCAAGGTCTATTTTGTTAAGGTCTGTTCCTATTGAAATTCGGAAAAAATTGGGTAATATTAGAATACAATATCAAAAACTTATTCTCATATGAGGTAAAGCGGCAGACATTTGTATTGCAGAAACGAGCGATTCGTACCGTGTATGTTCTCGGGTTTCTCTCAGAAAAAAGTTTAAGGAGAGATGTACCATAATAGTATGCTGTGGCATGACAGTACATTTACTGAAATATTTTTATGCCCGTAATAATACACATAACTTCAGTAAGAAAGAAAATATCAGTAATATTACAAGGATTTCGTTTAATCAAGGTATACGACTCTTTTATGGGGAACTGTATACGTTTTTACAATAAAATTCCAGAGTATATAATCAAATTATCATTTCCTGAGTTTAAAAACCACATTAAAAATATATGTATTGATTGAAAAGTCATGTTACAAAATTAATTTAAGACTACGTGTTAGATAAAGATGTATGGAAAGACGACATGGCTCTAGATTCCGCATAAATTTGATTCGAAGTGTATTCCATAGCATTTAAGTTTATTTGAAAAGAGCAATCCCTAGAGTTTCTTGCTCGTTCTTCTCAGGGAAGTCAGCGTAGTGAATGAGCACGAGATACGAACTTAAATTTTACGTTTTCAAGTGTAAATTTATTTTACCTGCGGAATAAATGATTCGTTGACTTTGACTTTGTTTTGAAGAATTAAGAGAGAACGGGCCTTAATTAGAGATCCGAAAAGGAAAGATGTTTGGGCAGCTCATATGCCACGATAGTTTTAGAAGGGACTATCGAAGAAAATACAGGCAGGGGACCTAGAAGTTATTTAGATCAGATAAGGGAAAATGTTGTGTCTTATCAGGAAATCAAGGTTCTGACGAGGAACAGAGATTGTAAACGATTTGTAAGGCGAAGGGTGCCTCCCCTCACGACGTACCATTCTCTCCCCGTTTGGCGTCACCTTGAGCAACAATTGGCAAGTACCTTGCGCAATTATTCCACCAACAAGAGCGTAGCTCATAAATAAGAAAAAGAATTTAGTTGAATGATTATTCCTCTAACAAAAAACGAAGACTAAACTGTCTAAAATTGTATCTATACGTCTATACGATATGTATATGGAGTGGAAGTGTGTATAGATCTGATAATTGCCACAAGTGGCGACAATGGGTGCTTCCGAACTAATTGCTGGCCGAATACTGACCGCATTTTGCGACTTTGTGGCCCACGCTTAATTAGTACTCAGCGTTTATCTATTTTTTGTAGTCATTCTAAATCATAATATATTCAAAACACGAAAGATTTTGCAGAAATTGTGTAGAAATTCAAAGAAAGAAGTTTATCGATAACTTTTTTATGCTTGAATGACGAGGATTTTTATGACTTTCGTGTGATAAAAGCACTTCTGAAGTTTTGACGTGTTTTATTAAGGATTAGTAAAACATTACTTGTGGTTTTTTTAATGCTACTGTAGATAATTTTATAGTAACTTGAATTGATTTATTTTTATTAATGATTTATTTACTGCAGAAGCTTTAAAAAAGTAAACTCGCTAAATATTACGAAAGTTTTAAATGAAATACATAGTAAACAAAAGGAAATGGTACGATTTATTGAAAAAGCTGACAGCGAGCTTTTATTAGACAATAAATTTAAATATAAGGTAGTTATAATAAAAGCTTAAATACTAGAAAGTAAAACTAGTGTTAAAAATTATATGAATGAAATTGGGTCCCAGTGGCAAGGTGCCCAAGATGCTGGCAGCGTTCCCCCTTTGTATGGCTATGCTAATGCGTTGGACAAGGTAGCGGTTTCCCAGACAGTCTATTAATTTTTCGGATAAAATTTTGTACTGGTGAAGGGCAGCGGGACCCCACGGGCCAAGGGTTTGTGTACTTCTTTGTCTACGATGTTTTGTCAATCTTGCTGTTGGAAGGAAATTTTAAAGGAGATCTGAAATTTATACGCTCTGTTACCACTTTTGTGCATGAATAATTCTTGTTCTTAGATTTTAGCTTTGCTCACTGCGTTTCATATAAAGTTTTCTGTGACTTCGAATCCCTTTGCCAGCATGAACCTACGACTGTCTGAATATGTAGTTGCTATGACCTCTTAATCTCAACCCTTGGAAGTGAAGTCTCCAATCTATTTTGGGCCAGAGTGGTGCAGTGGAATTCATAATTGAGGGACAATGACGATGATGATATGAAATATGATGTTATTAGTTTCATCATTCGCAATATAAATATTGTTAGCAGTAGAGCTCCTTGTGAATGTGTTCGTCCGGGTGAGTACTGCCACCTTACCTATTTTTACCGCCAAGCAGTAATATGAGCACTTCTGCGTTCCGGCTTTGAGGCGTAATGTAATTTGTCAACTATATCTTGACGCAGTGGCAGTGCCCGTCTGATCTTTGAGTTAGATGGATACAGGGTTTCCCTAGGGCAGGAATATGAGCGTGCGCGTTAAAATCATATTAAAATAATAATACAGGACTGTGTAACATACACCATTGTTAGTATTTAATTTGTAGTAAGTAAGCTTAAGAATTAAACGGCCTCGTAAATAAACCACTTACGACAGACGGTGATCAAATTACCAAACATCTTTGTATACAAAAGTTTTTCTGGAGCTTAAGTCGAAGAATTACCAGGGCCTTCTTTTGTATTAGCCACTCCGGGCCAGTGCTCAGGGCTCCGAGGTCGGTGAGGCCCCCTTTAGTTTCGTGCCAGACTATCAACCGATAACCGATATTACTGACAATAAATTAATATATAGTACTTATATATCACCTTTTTTTGTTTCGACATACATTTTTAATTACTAGTGTATAATGAATGGTCGACGAGTTACTTTTCCGGATTGTATTGTCGCACTTTTGGTGTAATTAACTGCATCCGCGGCCGAACCCGAGCCATGATGGACTGCCATGCAGAAGTCCCAGGTTCGATTCCCTACATTTATTTATCTCATGAGTTTGGGTATAATTTATGGTTGTCTATGTCTGTGTCCATGACACCCGCGATACAGGGTTTCCCTAGTGCGGATCTAAGATCGTGTGCGTTGAAAACAAATTTAGAAAGTTTATATCCCAAATCGGTCCTACCGGGAATCGAACCCGGGACTGCGGTGCTGATGAAATTACAGGCACATGGGACTTGTGAACTTCGTCTTAATATGTCAGTGCCCCCCATTGACTTACAATTATATGGACGTCGGGTCCACGCTAAAAAGTGCCCGAACTTATAGGGCGTTAAAATCGTATACAGAGCGTCATTCACGCTTTAGTCTTCGTTTGTTCGACTGACAGCGAAGCAAGCAAAATTAGACAGTACTGCGATGACATTACAATTTAAATTCAACGTTTTAGTTTTTTCATATTCCTTTACATGTCACTACGTTTAAATAGGTTGACTTGGGACATTTTTTTTGTGGATTTTGTATTAGACCAGTCGTCCATTTATTTGTAAGTCAATGGTGCCCCCCAAGAAATTGCGATTTGAAGCTCATAAAGTAAAGCACGTAAAGCACATAATCCTGAAAAAAATGTGTTCGCATCGCGACCGTGAGTACAAGAGACATGTGCTAATGAGTTTCGTAATAATTAGCTTCTTTAATTACATCGCACGTGTTAACAAGCTCTTTGACCAACTTGGACATTCTGTCATCCAGGTCATAACTATGTACCAGCAACAGAGTTTTTAGATTAATATTTTGTGCATGCGAGTAGGTACTCTTATAGATATTATATTGAACAAACTAACTGGTTAACAGATCCTTGGCTCTAACCAAAAGGAAATGTATTCAAATATTGCACCAAGATAGTAAATGTAATTGTAAAAGTCTCGAATGTAAATTAAATCAAATCTTCCGAGTGAAAATGGAAACTGCACTGTGCATAAATGTAACTGTTATTATATTACGAAATCCCTCGAAAAATGTCAGAAAATTTAAAGAAAAATTAGACTACGTACTTACGTAAAGCATTCTGTTTTGCATTGAATTGTACGCACTTACGCGGACAGATTCAGGAACATTGATATCTTCTTTCTGAACCGCAGTCAATTCATTAGTTCTTTAAGGAAACATCTCCAATTCAAAGGCAAGTAGTGGCAGTATAGACCTCCTTGCGAAAGAGTTTGACCAGGGTATTACTGCCACCTTACTTATTTCTGCCGCCAAACAGTAATGTCAGCATTACTGTGATTCGGTTTCGAAGGGTACTGGTAAAATTAAAAGCACGTGGGACTTGTTAACTTGTGTCTCAGGGTGACGGGCGCAGTAGCAGAGCCCCTCAGATCTTTGCAATTTGAAGCTCTGAAGGTCGTATTCCAGAACTCTACTCAATGCTCAAGTCAGGACTTGAGCAGACTTGAGTATGATTTCAAGCACTGGAAATACGACATTAATGGCAAGGATTTGAGTATGATTTTCAGTGCTCACTACAATACTCAAGTCCTGACTTGAGTATTGAATAGAGTTCTGGAATACGACCCTTAGTGGCACTTGCAACTGTTGTGGACAGGCGTGTAGCTTGTCATCAGGCGCACGACTTGTTCGTCCCGTCACTAGATATTATAAAAAAAACCACACACAAACATAAATATGTATAATTATGCAAGCATTTATTATACATTAAGCAATTATTATACAAACGTGCTCACACATTTACACATACGAAACACACAGACATACACACATATGTGCAAACTGTCCTTGCAATTACAGTTTGTTATATATGTTATAGATATTTGTTGTAATTTTTGTTGATTCTGTTGTATTAATCATTGTTTTCCGTAACATCACTTTGGCTTAATTTATTAGAAATTTAATGTAACTTTAAATGGATTCTTTAACCATTTACAAAGTTTGTGATTTAAGAATATAAATCGGATTTAAAAAGCTGTAAGGTTTGCAAATAAATAAATTACACTACCAAGCATGTTAAAGTTAAACTATTTCGCAATTTGTATTCTGTGGCTGTGACAATAAATAAATTCGACCGTATAAGAACAGCTGTATTATAGTAGACAGGGGAACTCCCATGGGTGGCATTACAGCACTTTCAATGGAAGCAGAGCATATGGCCATAGGTTTGTAATTTAAAGCCGAACAGGTCACAGGGAACACGCCTTGTCGATGCCGCCCCTGGGTCTGCCAATCGTCACGAAATTGTCCTACTTCGAGATAATTGATGGTTGAAACCATTATTCGAAGCACACAACGACTTGGAACGCAACATACAGATCGGGCATTTACCTTTAAATAACAAAAGGAATTTCTTGTCTCTCCCACTAAGAGAAAGTTACAAACTATGAAAAGGAAGGGGCTCTACAAATGATACTCTACACTTGATATTATAAAAAAAACCCTTATTGTCCTCCGCCGTACTTTTCACATAGTGTTATTCAGCCACTTCCTACTTCTTGAGTCAAAGATGAAAATTATGGAAAGAGATTGTAAATCTTTTTTTACAGTATCAATCAGTTGCACTGCATAACATAAGTTGACAAGTCCAATGTGCCTGTAATTTCACCAGCACCCTTACCCTTCAAAACCGGAACACAGTAATGCTGACATTATTAAAATATTATAATAATAATAATGCCCCAGACAAGTCTCGATGTACTATGAGTACCAGAGAAACGGAATTCACTCTGGGATACTTCCCAGAACACCTAGTCGAGAACCAATTTAGAAAATAATAATATATTACTGTATTATATAATAATATATTATAGTTCTTTTTGTATCAAAATAGTTCAAGCGAACATATGTGATTAAGCTTCTAAAGGAACTTACTGGGAGCTTTCCACCAAAGCGGATGTCCCATTGAGTAATGTTCCCCGGTAATTACTCGGAAGGAAGTAGATTTTAAATCTCTTTATTACAATAAAAAATTATAATGGCCATTTATAAAGTTTGTAGCAATTTTTTTTAATATTATCAATAGTTTCATTTTCTGACATTTTTTCGCGGGAAATCGTTAAATATGATACAGCTCATCGGTGGCCATTTGGAAGCCCTCTTGTAAACTATGGCATATGAAGGAGGTACAAAGTGCCTCTAATAATTTTGGTGAAACATCTGTCAGCCATGAATAATGATTAATGATATTCAGTGAGCTGGTTTTTGAACGCTCTAGATGTCGCTAACCATTAACAAACGAAGTGCTTGGTTTGCGGACTCGTTGTACAGCTATCCTGACCTAATCCCTTTTTTACTCTTTCTCCACGTTCCTATTTCCTAATCCCGTTTCCAAATTTCGTTACTATGATAAAATAAGTTTCCCCGTTTTAAGAACAAGTTTTGTCAAAACACTTTGTAAGTGGCTAAAACGCGAAAAGCCAAGAAAAAAAAATTACAAAGTGAGAGTTAATAATGTCAGTTAAAATAATAATATTGCCATGTTTCCCAAACCCAGTGGCCGCCATTAAGGAAATAGAATAGAATTGCCATGTGTAACGTGTCGTGATATGGTTAGTTTAGCTCTCAACTCACGAAAACAGAATCCGTAATAGAAACCTGAAGATATTTGCACCCTTGTTGTAATAAACGAAATTACAACCTTTCAGGAAAGAGGTTTAAAGACTCTACGAAAGAAATTAGTTGATATATTTTATTAAATAGGAGAGATAAAATATCACATTATACATAATTTGTTTCGTATAATTATAGATAGATAGATGGACAAACACTTTATTCACTAGTATGACACAAAAATACAGAATGATTACAAGAAATAAAACAATAAAACAATATATAATAAAACTATAAATAATAAAACAATAAATAACAAAACAATGAAAGGGTGCTGACACGCTTAAGTTCCCTAAGGCGCTAGTTTTCAGTCAGAACCAACGAACTAAATCTAGAAGTTATTTGTAAGGAAAGATATAATAAACGACCAGTAGTCAAATTGTTCATTGAAATAATAAATGTAATAAAGTGGGAATAGCGCATCTAAAAAATAACCTATTCGATACGCAAGTGCTTGTGCGGATATAAACATTTAAGTGAAAATTATGACTGTGAAAATATTTTAGTGTAATAAATCAAAGTAAAACTTTATTTTGGAAAGGCCACGAAAAAGAGTACACGGGGGATATGAAAACTAATAATAATAGTAAAATTTCAACAAACTGGAATAGGTGTTGCCGGTAAAGTGCTTTAAATTAGTGTTCAAAAGCGTCATCACGTATAGAAACTGGAATATTATTCCAGCATTTTGATACCGAATATTTGGAACTACCCCTAAATGCTGCAGTTCTATGTTGTATGGTACCATAAGCAGGTACACATGAGCGGGCAGATCTCTCTCTGTAGCTTACTTCGTATTCGTATTTTATAATTTTCTAGTACTTTCCATATTTTCTGTTACAAAATGTTTGATTTTTTTTTTGTTTCAATTCGTAACTAAATCGATATTACGTTGAGGTGATGTTGATCATTTAAGACTATACTATTTTTATTGATTAAAAAACAAACAGTCTACAAAAAGTTACTTTATTACTTCTAGTTACCTAAATATCCAATTTTAAAAGTAATTGCTTCTTGGCGAATATTCACGGTAGCATGATGCCAGTCGGTGGAGAGATTCATTTACCTTTGTTTATTTCAATTTGTTCACTGGTGTCATTGACTTACAAATAAAAAAACAACGAAAAAAATGTCCCAAGTCAACCTATTTAAACGTAGTGACATGTAAAGGAATATGAAAAAGCTAAAACGTTGAATTTAAATTGTAATGTCATCGCAGTACTGTCTAATTTTGCTTGCTTCGCTGTCAGTTGAACAAACGAAGACTAAAGCGTGAATGACGCTCTGTATACGATTTTAACGCCCTATAAGTTCGGACACTTTTTAGCGCGGACCCGACGTCCATATAATTGTAAGTCAATGACTGGTGTAGTTGTTGAAACTTATTGAAAATGAAATATTCCTCTAACGACGCCTGCTCAAATAAGTACGTAAGTTACTTGCGTAACTAATTCAACGATGACATATCACGGACTTAAGAGAAAAGTGTGCCCTTTTGTGATTATTCAAATGAAGGCAGACGACGTGTGTTTTCATTCAATAAAGGCACAAATTGGTACCGCAATGTCCAATCATCATTCCTGCAAATGTCCACAGGAATCACAGCGTCAATTGAACACAGCATTCTACTACTGATAACGATGTCAAAGAATCATTGCAATTGCGTAGATGATGCACCCGATCGATTGAAAATTATGGATATTGGACTGTGTGTCTGTAACGTTTACACCTCTATATATTCAGGTAATCTTCATTTCGAACGTATTGCTATGGTATTACATAACTCGCACGATTGAAGACGCAGCCAAAAATTAATATAGATTGTTGTAAAAAAATCTAAATGGTCTACAATACTTGTTTCTTCAGTGTACAGTGACAATTAGACATAAAAAAAAATTTAAAGTCTGAAAGCGTTTTTAAAGCTGCGTTATAGTGTTAATGATTGTACATATCAAATAGATCGTTCATTAATCTTCATAATCGAGCTGTGTAGGCAAAATATTGGTTATTTCCGCGGCGGCGCGTCCTTGGATCGATCTTCGCAAGGACGGAGCGCGCGCATCACCCTCAGTCATGATTCCCTTTGGAGTTGCGCATCTACCCCAATTATTTATTCTATGCTCACGTCTGTTGTTTCTTTTTAATTTCATTATTAAAACATTGAATATGTTTTAGCATTCACGTTTGTGATTTCAAAACATTGGATGATTATTGAAATTTATAATTAACTTAATGGAAACGCCAATTCTAAAAATAACAACCAATAATAATTTCCCAACTATTTGCCATAACGTTTAATTAATAACTGGTAAAAATACAGTAATTAGGTCAAAGGTCAGAGTACTGACGATCGCATAAATAGATTAGTAGCGATGGATTCCAAAATCAACGTAGTGTTACCTACATTCTGGAACTTAGATTATCTTGTAATAACTCAAAGCTGAAACCCGAAAACCAGAAACACTGAAAGTGAATTCGTCGAGTGGAAGGCGGGCACTTTTTGTTCAGCCAACTTTCAATTACGTAACTCTATAATACCTATTACGGCCACCTACATAACACGAAATCGCATTCTAATTGGTCATTTCTGACTTATTTGGGATTCTTATTAATATGATTGATTTATCCTTTTAGAAAAATCGATTTTCCCTCCGCATGGAAAAGTCCTTTGTCAATAAATAATGTAGCGATGGACTTACCCCAGCTGGACCCCGTGCGGCCCAGAAACTGGCCTGTCTCCGAGTTGTATATGAAGATCCTGAAAGACTCCCATTTTCCAAGATCCGGTGGAGGTGCATAGTACTGCTCTGCAGCAGCCACCTTCGTCTTGTCCGCCATGGTCGAGCGCTTCGCCGGACTGCAGCCGGAGATCGATTGTCGGCGCCTTCGCCCCTGCCGTGCCTCCCTCTCCTCACCTCCGCCCCTCTGTCGTCCGACTGACACCCTGCAACCCTCTTCCCTCCCTTACATAACGATTACGTAACAGCGGCGCGCGCAGACTTTAGACCTACATTTGGCAACCAATTCTCTAGACCTCTTAACCTAGTTGCTGCTCGTGATTTTTAAGCAATTTTATTTTCATGCCACAGCTCATGATACGTTGGGTATAAACAAGCTCGCAAATATAATAAATGCTGTAGATTGAGTCTTATATACAGGGCTGTAGAGATATTTGTTTGATTTTAAAGAACGTTAAGTGTGGCTTCACTGGCAGTCTAGATAGGAGATTGATTGAAAGTCTGCGCAGCCTACGCGCTGCCGCCGCTGCTAGGTTACCTCTGCTGGGGGTAGACATTTTGGATTAACTCGAAAATAATAACAACTTTCAATGTATCATGTATACATGAGTTGCATTTCAAATGCATTGCAATCAAATAGAATACAGAAACTCGTATGACTTCACTCGTAATTATGTTACATTATGTCGAGATTATAACAGCTAAGAGGTGTTATTAGATTTGCATATGAAATGTAGAATGTGAAGAAAATTGCTCAAATAATGACACCATTATATTTAATAAACAGTGTGAGCATTTATAAATAAAACGAATTATGTAACATGATGTAATTTATTTATCTAGATACATTATGTTTGCTTATTCGTCAGTTCTTTTTATGTCATAGCCATTTACCGATGTAAATTACGAGATAGTAATGGTAGTTACTAACATTGTTTGATTGATAGCCAACTTTCTTACTTTATAAAATAAATAGCAGATAATTAATTCTATTTAGCATTGAAATGTTAATTAATTACAGAATAAAATACAAATAAATAAGCTTAAATAGGTACGATATAGTAAGATTTCTGTGGAATTACAAAATAAAATGATTCAGAGATCATGAAAATTAAACTAAGCGCCTAACAATAAATATAGAGCAAGAAAACTCTAGACAGAATATATAAATTTGCTGCTAAAATTTCTACAGGCTTTTATACGGCTGATATTTCTTTAGCGCATTCTTATCAGATTTTACAGGGACATTGGTAAGCTCATCATTTTCTGGTTTAGTCCAGGCCTGGCATATACAAGTGGGACCAGGGCCATTTGTTCCTGGACCTTTAGCGCCTGAAGTTTGTGTACCACCGGGACCTGTTTGGCTTACCACTTGAAATTGATTGTTGGGACCTTGAAACTGAGAACTTTGCTGTTGATTTACTACTTGATAATTTCCTGTTGATTGATTAGTGCCAATGTATTGTCCCGTGCCTTGGCTAGGGACTTGGTATTGTGGTGTAGTTTGGTGACTTGCTCCTTGGTACTGACCCGCGCCTTGGTACTGGGGTGTAGTGTGCTGATTCGCTACTTGATACTGCCCTGTAGATTGCTGATTCGACCCTGAGTACTGACCGGTTACCTGTTGGGTATTTCCTACATACTGTCCTGAAGGTTGGTTCGGTAATTGATTTTGAACAGGAATATAACCTCCTGGTTGATTTGGAAACTGGCCATTTTGTCCTTGAGTTTGGAACTGGTTCTGATTTTGACCTTGTTGATTTTGAGATTGGAACTGGTTCTGATTTTGACCTTGTTGGTTTTGAGATTGGAATTGGTTTTGATTTTGACCTTGTTGATTTTGAGCTTGATACTGTCCCTGATTGTAGCCGTTTTGGTACTGTGATTGGGATTGACTTTGCGAACCAAAGTTCTGAGCTGGCGGGGGGTATACTTGGTTGTTTACAGGATAGTTTCCACCTTGAGGATAGTTAGCGTTTTGTCCCTGATTTTGAAACTGCTGTTGGTACCCATTATTGTAGTTCCCCTGATAGTAGCCTTGCTGTTGATAGCCCTGTTGGTTCTGATACACTGGCGAGGGGGTGGTTGGTTTGTTCTTATGGTTCTGTACGATGTCAATGACCCCTCCGATAATCTTTTCGGGAATGTTATGGAGTTTTTCCTTCACGTTTGTTGATGTGATTCCGTTTATAATCACGGTAGCAAGTAACTGAAAGGTAAAAATAGAAAATATGTTCACAGCAATATAACAAACTCGTTTACTAAACGCCTGTCCTCCAAACGCTTACATGATATTAAACAAAATACAATAGGGATAAAAACAAATTAATTACTTTAAACAAATGATTTTCAACATTACTACGCCGTTTAGATTTGACAATAACATGTTTAATACATTTTTTTTTTGTGAAATTAAATGTTGTACCATGTGATATATTAGTAATAATTCTATGAAAACAATGGTCAATTAATAAATATGTATGTGGTAACCTAAGGGTTAGACCTACCTCCGCTCAAGCAAAGGCCGTGGTTTCGATTCTGGACACCTCTGAGTCTCTCGGAATTTTTGTGCCAAATTTAATTTGAAATTTACGGTTCACAATTCTCAAAAAACGTATAAAGTCCCCAACCCGCATTGAGTCAGTGTGGCCTAAAACCTTCGCCTAGAGGAACCCGCGAGCAGCTGTGGGATGTTGATGACATTTATCTTGTGTATAACTAATTACCTGGTCTCAAGTCAGGGAATTCCATGTACTACGAGTGCCAGAGCAACAAAATTCATTAATATAAAGTTCATTTCCCAAGTTGGTTCTTCCGAGAATCGAACCTCCCTCTCATCCAGCTCCCACACTGCAAGCCGTTTGGCCATCAAGATCGTCAATATAAAAATAAATAAATGTATACAGGCAATAATTATCTCAAATTTCGTTGTATAAATTTATCAAGAATGTATCCGGTGGCCTAATGGTTTGTACTGTTTGCTATGGGTGAGGAGGTCGCGAGTCGATTCCCGGCGTGACCAATTTAGGAAATTTTGTATATTGATACTGATGTGAGTGTATTTGGATTTAAGACATCAAATCATGCGTATCTAACAGTTACTGCTAACTGCTACTGTACTTGTTACCCTGAGACATAAGTTGACATGTCCCATGTGCCTGTAAATTCACCAGCACCCTAAATCGGAAAGCAGTTCCACTATAATGCTCACGTTAATGCTTGGTGGCAGAAATAGTTAAGGTGGCAATATTTCCCTGAACCAACTTTTTCACAAGACGCTCTGCTACCACTAAAAGTCGAAAGTTTGAAACCAGATCGTTAGTGTGGTTGTTTGGAAGATTATTATTATAATTTTTAATCTATCGAACTATGTAGACCTTTCCACTAATCTTTTTTTTTTATGAAACTTAGTAAAGGGACGATAAACTGGTGCGCCATAATAGGTGCAGTGCCACACAAATCGTTACGCAGTAATGCTTACATTGCTGCTTGGCGGCAGAAATAGGTCAGATGACAGTATTTCCCTGGATAACTTTCACAAGGGTCTACTGCTACTAAATCTCGTCCTGTAATGGACTAAAACGACTAGTCTTAAAAAAGCATGAATTGGAACTCACGAACAGTACTGTAGCGCGATGTCCTCTCATTTTGTCGGCTCAAGGTTCCTCGTATGATTGCCCAAAACACTGTAAGGACACTCTTTTATACAGCTTCGTGTATAGCGTATTATTGGGCCTCATATCTGGTGGAAAATGCTATAGGGCTGTGATTACCGGATTTTAAATATTATTTTCTATA